GGAATATGAAGTGCACCTTCAATACGCAAATGGAGTATTTCAATTTGGGCTAATGTACAGGAGTTCCGTGTCGTATACTTATTGTAAACATTTTTTTCTATATATACATAGCTCCTTGTGTAGTAAAAGCTTGCATTGTGCAGAATTTATAATAAAATGTGAACAATAAATATCATCAGTATACACGTTTACAATGGAATGAGTGTCCCTGGATTGTGATGGAAATGTTACATGTTTTAAGTTGTTGACAACCGCTCAACATTTTAAGCAAGCATGTTCACTGTTACAACTTGCGTTGGAATAATGATGTTGACGCTTAGCTTTTTTTTAGTAGTGGAAACTGAAAATCTGAAAATATGATAAATTTTGTTACATTGTATTGAAACTACTTATTTCATGTATATGCAACGGAATATTATCAAAAGGAGGTTGTTATATTTGATATAATTGTATCTTTATATTTACGAGACAAGTAGAATGTCTCTAAGTGTTCAAACTAAGTCATTGTAAGGTAAGATTCGTTATCTTGATACTCTCATAACATGTGTTGAAATCAGGGCTGTGGTATGTTTTTTTTTAATTCTTGGAAGCGATCTGTTGCTCTGGACCCCAATTAAACTTAACGCCATTTCTTAGTAAACTGGTCAGTGGGTAGGTCAGCTGTGAAAATTGAGGGATGAATATATGGTATCTGGATGCCATTTCTAGGAATCGTCGGACTGGATTTACCGGTCGTAGTGGTTCCATACTATAGCCTATAGCCCCGACTTTTTTTGGAATATCGATTTATACCATCTCGGCCAACTAATTGACCTAAGTAGGTACTTCAGCTGTGTCCTAGCAAACATGCATTTGTCTGGTGGTAGAAATTCCTGCAAATTAATGAAATAGTCTTCTGAACCTAGAATCCTGTCCAAAAGCTTCTGGAGTGGAAAGACTTTGAACTAGAATAATCCCCTTCCAGGGATCATAAAGCGTGATTGGCTTACTTTCTTCACTAAGCCGCACCTGCCAGTACCCGGACTTCAAATCTAACGTGCTTATGTACCTGACCTCCCGTAAACGGCTTAGGATGTACCTTGCATGTATGGTAACGGGTATGCATCCATGATCGTCAGCTGGTTCACTTGTCGATAATTTATACAAAATCTGTATTTACCGGAGGATTTTTGTATTAGTACAAGGGCTGTTTGACGACACAATTACTCCATCTTGTAAGATCTTATCCACCTCTTTGTTACGTTCACTTTGGGCAAAAGTAATAAATTTAACTTGTGGTAAGCACACGGTAAGCTCAGAAAAAGTCGGGGCGAGTCGAGGTGAATATCGGGGTTCTAGTACACTAGCAACAATAAAGAAAAAGGGAAATGTAGTAATAGTAATCCGGATAGGCACCACTTAGTCTGTAGTCACTTTCAAGGAATGGACGAAAATAAAAAAATTTCCTTTCAACTACAGGTTGCAACGGCCTTGTTGAGCTCAAGAAGGACGCTTTGTGCTTAATCTGTAACAGATACCAACACAAACAAATAAACTAGGAGTGTAGTGAATAGCGCGGCACATAAAATATGGCTTAAGCAATGCTAACGTCTGACAAGTGACACTGATCAGGTATTAGTATAATAAACCGTAATTAATACTCAATATGAATCAATAATTCAAATGACTAGCAAAAGCAAAATTTTGATTGACCACGCCATCGGATATGAAACCATAAACGTGACCTTATCTTCAAGAAAACTAGTTTACGATGCAGAAATAATTACATTGATTAACTCGAAATGTAAATCAGACAGCATGAAGCAATTCTTCGGAATAACGCAACTAAAAATTGTAGATTGAATTGACAAGGCAACGGTAGGTAGCTAACAATAGTCAACCAAATCGGGTCTTGCCATGATTTTCCTTAATTGAAAGTACATTTTTGAACTTCTATCAGAATATCGTCCTGTAAATCACTCAGCGGAAACCACCATATGCCGGGAAGGAGACCGCCATATGGAATGCCGAATGGGAAAGGTTTAGTTGCGGTCCAGGGATGAGTTGTGACGCTGCTCGTGTGCGTGTATCTTTTCAAAATGGCAAAGTGAAAATATTTGGATTATCCGTGCTTTTCAATAATTCGTGATTCGCCTGGTCCCGGGGAACAGGGATGATCGGGGTTCTACTGTACTTGCCGTTAGGAACTACATCGAAGTGTAGGTCACAGGTAATGGTGGTATAATTTTACAAGTCGGTAATGTAGAAACCCAATCCTAATAAGATAGCGGGTTCAAATAAAATACAATGTCATCGACGTAATGCGTAGGTAGTAGGTAACATCCAGGTAAATACAACGTAAAATGTTTGAGAATTTAAAGAAAACTCAGAAACTTTGAAGAAAGGTAAACTTGAGATTTAAACGAAAGTAAAGCCCTAAAAAAACCTATTAAAAAAAATACTGCGTAATAATCAAACATACCTCGTACTGATTATATGCAAATAAATCCGTAAAAAGCACAGCCACAAACATGAAGAAGAAAGAGGAAAAACCAATCCAATGATATATGGTAACAGCTAAAACAAAAAGCCCTTGTACACAGGTAAGACAGGAAGTCAGTAAAAGTAATGGCGTACCAAGAAAAAACTTTGCATGTAATAATGCGACAGCAGAAACTTCACTGCGCAATAATATATCGTGAGCAAGATAAACTTAAAGAAGGAATAGGAATTAAAAGTACTATGGAAACATCTACACGGCCTCCGTCGGCGAAGAAAAGAATTATTGTAGTAAGGAATCTATAACACTTGAAAAAAATTTACTACAGGAACAGCTGACATCTAAATTAGTGGATTACAAAGTAAATTCTTAGTTGGCGTAAAAATTTAATAAGAGCACAAACCAAATAGTTACATAAGAAGAATTACAATGGCGAATCATCAATAATTTTATGCATTGCAGGATTACAAGGATAAAACCGTTGTTTTTACGGACCCACTCCTGGCTTTACAACAACAGCATGTTCGTCAGCATTTGTACGCCCAGGAGAGGTTTAAAACTGACTCAGTTCTTGCTTCAGAAATTGGTTTAATCTGTGCGGCTTGTCTTTGTTCTCTTTGTATTTTCCTATAAACTTTTAGAAATTATTTAGATGTTCATTCATTAATTCATTCCACATGCAACTAGTTAAATAATCCGAAGGAAGAGGGGCTAGGAGTGGAGAGGAGAGAGATGCTATATTGCAAGCCTAAGCTACTTTTAAAAAATTATAAATTATGCATTTCAAATTTTACAAAAAAAAGGTGGCGCTCAAGCGTTCAAACAAAACAAAAAAGTTCTATGTATGTATGACGTTTTCCTAGTTGTTGCTAAAAAAATATGGGCATAACTACAGTAAAACGTATAAATGTCGAAGAGTCAATCAGAGTTTTGTACTACTTTTGTACTTCAATATTACTACAAAGGATTATGCAGTTAGTAGGGTTAGATTTGTACGTGACAGGGAACAACTATTGCCGCATACAATGCTCTTATTTCCGCAAGCACAGAAGCGTGCTTCCATTTCTATCTTTGGCACTCATATGGAGAATTGACGTAAATTTAATTTGCTGTTCTGGACGATCGACTAAGTCAAGAACATTGTTTTCCGGGTGGATGCGGTGATGAAACTTGAGAATACCTTGCTCCTTAAATGCTTGCCTGTAAATCTGATTAACAAAAAATATGTTATAATGAAGGTTGTAAATCAGAACTTGATACAATTTTTTCATTTTACCATTGGTTGTTTCGAAGTTCCCTAACGATTCGCTCGGCATTTCCCATTTTCCGACTCAAAATTTACTCAAATGTTAAACAGAAAAGGATTTGTCTTGAAAACTTTAATCCGGCTATAAAACAATAATGAAGTTTTTATAGGGATTTGCAAACGAGCTGAAATAAAGTACGAAAATCCCTCTAAATTACGAGATAATTAGGAATTTTTGTACCATGAAGTGAACGTATTATATTCATAAGGCCAACTAAACTTTTCGAAAACTTATTAAAAAATATGCTGAAATAAGAAATGCAAGAGACATTAGAGAGCAGGTGGTCTAGTTTATTATATCTCCACTTATATCAAATTTCACTTATTATTATTTATAACGCAATAAATATTACTCTAATATTATTACGCAATTATGCAGCAAGCTTTGCAGTTAGCAATACCAACATGGTAAAGTATGCTTTAAAAGGCATTTTGTTCCGCTAAAGACCCTATGTTCAACAGAAACTGCTCTATACGGATTATTAGTAGGCAATTTAGCAATTTTCATTGAAATGGATGCCTTCCCTGTTTAAAACGTGGCCTGAACGTTTATAATCTGAATACATTTGCACAGTTAGTTAATTCAAAGCAAGCTTTCGTAGGTGAGAAAATGAAGAGCTATTAGAAGACCGAGTCTCTACAGTAGTATAGAGATCGTAAGTATTTGAAGGCCACTGTGGTATTTACAAATTATGTACAAGCGAAGTCCGTACGTAAAACTTAGCACTGAATGTACTTCAAAAATCCGTTTATTCTGAGTTCAAATTATGTAAATGGATTCAAAAATTAGTAAACACATGGATGTAAATAACCTATATTAATAACGCCCTTGAAGCTGTTAACGTTATTTACGTTATGAACACTGTAATTCTTTACGATTGTTATTAAATAAACTTTAATCGTAACTAACATGATGAAAATGCCAATTGATGCCTCATTCATTAATTATTGGAGTAACGTGAATCAAGTAATTCAACTGCTTTTACACAATGAGTGATTCATATGAATTTAAAGATAGTTTCCAGGAAAATAATAACGACCGGTAAACGTCCGTATTGGTTTTGTGCACGAGATGGTAGTATGCATTAGTTTAAATTACCTATTGACTAAAACTTCTATGACTCTTTCTATGAATAAACTACTAACAAAGACTAATCTAATGTAATTGAAGAATATGTTATAGTTCACAGTACATACCTTCTTCCTACGCCACATTGCAGTTAGATTTCATTTTTTATTCTCAACTCTGCATATTCCCTTCCTTACTAAAGAACCTTGACAAATAATTTTAAAACTATTAGTCTCGTCACCATCTCTTAATTCGCTTTAATTCAGGAAATCAAGTTAAGTAAAACGTTAATTTTAAGTTTGAATTCGCTCGTAACGGTAGTGCATTTTTAACAGGTACCAAATACGCTAAAGAAGGATGAATAATTCTTAGTACGTATACGTATTTCGTTTCAATTTTAATACAAATTTTTGGGGATTTTAGCAATATTGAAAACGAGAAAGGAGACATGAAGGGGAGCTGGTGGAAGAGAAGATCGAAAATGGAAAAGAAGTTGACTATACTTTCTATCCTGGCCTTGGCGGTAATAGTCATACTTGTAATAGTGATTATTATTTTCTTCACACGTAAGTACTTAGTTCAGTAATTATTACCGGTCAATCCAATATCATTTAGTTCCGTAGAATTAATGCCGGCCGGCATCGACACCTTCATTTCCTTTTTTAATTATTTCCATATACGTTTCCATACTTACAAAGTGAATTGGGGTTTTCACTAAATATAATTTCTAGGCCTGGGCTACTTGTACTGGTAAAAAGCTTGTAAATCGGGAAATCTATTTAGTAAATTCTCCTGTTCAGGGGCCATGTCGACGGGTTAATTTGTAATTCGGTAATAGACAGTACTACTGACTTGATTCTACGTGACAATGTTTTAAATTTTGAACGCCCTTCTACAAGGTGTTTTAAAACTAATGGTCAACTTTATTAACTTCAACAACAAATTTTACATCAATCTAGTATTACATTCCGTATACCTATCTGTTATGCTTTCCGTTTTATTTTAGATTTTCTAAAATTGTGACCCTTATGCATAATTTTCCTAGGATGCCTTGAAATAAATACGTTAGAAGACCTGTCAGACCTTTTTATAGTTATAGTTGATAATATAATGACAGATAATATATAAAAAGTTAAATAACGATGATAATAAACAGAAACCGCTAGTAATAACAAACTACAAAATAAAAAAAAAACAACATCAATTGAGGTTTTGTTCTACATGGCCACCGTTTTTTTCAATACATAATAGGATCCTCCGATGAATCCCGTTGGTAGGCGCTTCTTTAGTGTCTAGTACATCCATCTCACTAAAAGCTCTTCTCAGCCTAACTTCCAGTTCTATACGAAAAGCAACTGGTGTGAAGTAAACGTTATCTTTATATGACCCCACACAAAAAAACCCAATGGCGTTATATCTGAAATTCTAGGTCAACGCCACGGACCTCTCCTGTCTTCAAAGACATATAAGCATCATGGATAGAATGAGCGGGCGCTCCGTCATGTTGAAATCAGTTTATTTGAAGGCCTATATTTGAAGAAAATTATGCACAACAGTCACAATTTTTAGAAAATCTATAATAAAAAGGAAAGCATAACTTATAAGTGTAGGGAATGTGTTCTCTGTGGTAATACTAAATCGATGTAGAATTGTTTTTATTGGAAAGTGCAAAAAATAAAGCATGTTTCGTTTGAAAAAAATCAACTTTTTAAGGTTTGAAGTTAATAAAGTTGACTATTAGCTTTGAAACACCCTGTAGAAGAGCGATCAAAATTTAAATCATTGTCACGCAGCATTAAGTGAGTACTGTCGATTTTGGAATCCTTCTTGAAATTCAAGCCAAGGGAGTCATAAATACAGCTCAAAACAATAGCAATCAAACATCAAAAATTTTGAAAAATCTTGAATAACTTGAAAACCTTGATGCTAGGTATAGAAAAATATGGTATCAAACGGCGTAGATTTTCATGTAAATTTTGAAAACGCAATAAAATACAGCGTGTTCTATTTAAAATAAGAAGTTGCTATCGACATGCAGTAGAACCGGAAGTGAAACGGTCATTATAATATTTAATTTCGATATGTCAAAAAAAACTATGTTGGTATGCTTGATATAATAGACACCGAGTTCATTAACCCTTTGGCTACGGCGGTTCATTTGTGTCTTAAGGTGATAAAGTTTAGCCAAGTGCACCAGCGCAGACGGTTATTTCGGTACCATTGAAGTGCCAAGTCGGTGAATAATTCTGGCAACACAAGAAGTAGTTGGTCACCCGGTATGTTGTAACGGAGGCACTCGTTCAAGGAAGGAAATCCGATCGGTATTCTCTCCAAAAGTCTTCCAGTTTCGGGTTTTGATTTGTACGGTGCGGAGAACGGTTGAATCTGGTGTGGATTCCCGACAGGAAGAGTATACTGACTAGATTAACCTTCCAAACTGGCGGAAGAATCAGTCGGAGGACAAAAAACGGATGATTCATAATCGACGGTTGGGTAACGAGAACGGTGGCGGAAAAAGTGCTTATCGGGGTAAAAGTAATAGTCGTTGGCAAAAACCCTACGTCGACGATTCGTTGTCTCGGAAGGCGGCTGCTGTTACACGTATAATTAATAATGAATCCAAAAGAGTTAAGCACAACAGTTGATTGTACATTCTGTAGATAAGCCTCATATGATTCCCCCAAGAAAAATCATCAAATTATAAGACTGAGAAAAAACCTATTTGACATAAAGAGACAATGATTGATTTCATGATCTTGGTAAAAACAAGACAAAGAAAAAGGAAATCTAGGAAAGATGTCGGAATCGTCACCCGGCCCAACCTTCTGTAATCGAAGGTCACCTTCTCTTAAGAGAGAGAAGATCTCTGGACTATTCCACTGAACAGAAACGACATACATTTTGGCAGGAACTTCATCAGGGAAACTAACTGTCTTAATGCCGTCACTCCGGTCTAAACTCAGACGATGTTCTTTAGGACATTATCCTGCCAACAACTGACTGTATGAGGTACGCAGCGGTAATTGATCCCGGCATACATCGTTTAATGCTACCACAATCAAACGGAATGCCTCAAGTAAGTGAAGGATACGAACATTGTAAATTTGCTACGTATTTAAATACCGTTCAAATCCCGAAGACTATTGGAGGACGGATAGTCTTTGATACTAAATACTTAGAAATTTAACATTTCGTTTGTCTACCACTAGCAGTTACCTAATGCCATGCAGTTATGACCAACAATCATTTTGTAACTCCGTTAATACACCGAAATTCCAATACCACCCGATCTAAAACATGTCTGTATCATTCACATATACAACATTTCATGAGAATACGCTCACTTCATTTCAACACCCTTCGAGGATTAAAATTTTCATCAACTTTCGATTAAAATTGCTACTGTGGTCAGTGTAAGAATTTGCTTCGGTTATAGATCAGTTTTTAATTGAAATTCGATCACACGCGTCCTATTCATAGCTTTTTTCAATTCCTTTTTTTTTCCATTTAAAGCTTGATTAAACTCTCGTATTTGGAACAATGAATAGAGAGAGTATTGCTGTATTTCAATAATAAATTTCCCTCATATTGGTGGTGGAACAGAAACTAATTAATATTCGAATTTAAATTGAGGGTAATTATATTAGTGGTCATGGTATTTAAAGCAAATATGTTCGTCACTATAGGAAATAACATTTTTCAGTTTAACCAAATTATGAAATTTATTATTTTGACTGGTGATTTTGTGACAGCTTTGCTGTTTATCAATGAAGCGTTCATTGCGGCTTATTAAATTTACCCTATCAAATCGTGTCTACTTTGTTTGTTTAAATTGTACAGTGATCACATTTATTATAATAGAGAAAGATTTTACACGATGCTTGCCAAAATTTTACCAGTTGGTAATAACTGTTTTTGAAATTTATTTGACGAGTTTTCTATAATAATAAACCGAATTCCTTAAATAAGTAAACAAGCAGGAAAAAATTTAATATGTATCAGATCAACTTCAACACCATATTACACACTCAATTTTATATTTTACGTTGTGATAAAACTTGCTTTTTAAATCTCATATAATGTGCTTACGTAGTAAGTTACGGTCGAAATTACTTTTCAGTTGCCATTTAATTACGATTAAATTACATCTGAAAGCTTTGACCGAAATATAAATACATTATAATTTTCATTTGCATCCATGTTACATTTTATTCAAACGTTACAGCTGCTACATGCGACTTACCTTTTTTTTATTTTTATTATATTTGCTATTTCGGGATCTATGCCCATTTAGCAACATTTTCAGTAACTTATTCATTTACTCTATAGGAATAACACAGGACACACTCTTCTCGCCAAGAGGTCTATCATGGCATTTTACATTTAACAATACAGGTAGCGACCTTGATTTGTATAGGAGGGTAAGACAGAGGTTCAATACAGAGGATACATCATACAGATCCATGCACGCACACACCCTTAAATATTTAACCCAGTATTAGCTACGTATTCAATTACTATATCATAAATGCGTCTACAGTTGGAACTCAGTAGAGCAACGATGTTGATGGGAAAATGAACACCACTTTCTGTTAACCGTGCACTCATCTGATCAATGAAGGGCCTTCTCAGCTCGCAGTTAAAAAATATGTGATTCAAATCACCAGTCTCGAATCCACAATCACACCCTGGCGAATCTACAACCCCGATCTTATACAAATGAGATGGAAACCTCCCATGTCCAAATTTAAGACGTGCAATTATCGAAAAGTATCTTTTTGGGGTATACTTATCAGAATACCATGGTCTAAACTTAACCGTTGGGTGGATTAAAGCATACTGTGTTTGTCTTTCTTTATGATACTCCTTCCAATATATATCCCAGGCTTCAACTATGTTGCTTTTGAGAACATTCAGAAGGTCTGTTCTTGGTGTGGTACTCTCGAGACTGATCCCCTCTTGTACAGCTTGTTTAGCCAATTCGTCTACCAGTTCGTTTGCTTTTAAACCTGCATGTCCTTTGATCCAGTAAAACGCAACAGTATGTCCTTTCTTTATAATTTTAAAGGCTTCTGCTCTAATAGCGGTAATTAAAGGATGGGATTGAAAATAATGGACCCTTTTATTGATAGTGGCCAGGACACTCTTACTATCTGACATTATGGCCAGGTTCTTTGCTACATTACGTTTATAAAAATATTTTAATGCTTCTAATATTGCAGTCGCTTCAGCTGTAAATATAGATTTGACCTTTCCAAGATTAAATAACTTTGAATATTTAGTCGATAGCTCGTAAAATGCACATCCGACTCCCACCTTGCTTTTAGAACCGTCTGTGAATATTATCTCCCAACATTTCAAGTTGTCTAAGGTGTTATAAAATAGTTGGCAATCATGTCTAAAATCCCCTATATAACTAGGGAAAAACGTTGGCAGACTTCCGACGTAAAAATCGTGATAGGAAGCGTCCGGAATTTCTTGTATCCAAAGAGGAATTTTTAATTCGTGAAGATAAAGGCTTGCCACGGAAAGCGGAGGAGACTTCTTTTTAGACCAAAAAGCCGAG